ATGTTTCAAGAATATCAACATCACTTCTTCAAAAAAACAGATAAAGATCATATTCTTCACAGATACTTGGGAAAATCAGCTGAACAACATTTTTTAAATACGCAGGGAAGACAAAAATTTGGTATTAAACAAAGTTACTAAAAATAATGCCTGTAAGCATCTCTTCATGAAATAGCTAGTTCTTCAGGGAAAGTGGTGTTTCAAGATATGCTACGTAACACAAGCAGTCCAACTGCTTGAAGTTCTATCATTTCCACTGGGAAGAGCACAAAAGTTTCTGGATGCTCCTGCTCTACAGCAATGAGTATGTCTTTTGATTAGAATAAGGAAGAGTTTGGCATAGAAGAGCAGCACTGACTCCTGGAAGAGGAAGACATAGCTTGAGGACGCATTTTTGCTGGTTCCAACAGCTAGTTCCAGGAAATTGTCTCCTTTGTGTGTCAAAGTACCAGTGGTGGGTCAGATACTTTGTCTTGGTCAGACTTATGGTGTATATGATATACTGTTCCAGCTGAATCTTTGCTATGCAGTGTTTCTTGATTAATTTTTCTGGTCTGTGTCATCTAAGCTTGCATGACATCAGGCTATATTCTCATTTCCTAATCAATAACAGCGGTTTAAGGTTTATAAAAGATATTAACATCCATCCTTGGAATGGAAAGGTTAAGAACATAAAGTTATGTTTTGTTCTCTTGCAACAACCCATAAAGCAACTTCATGTGATATAGCATAACGAAAATACACAGAACACCAAATAAGGAACCATTGCTTTCAGTACCAGCTGATTCCGTTGTCTTCAATGTTTAAACTCAAAAAAATGTATAGTACAAATTTAAAATAAGATGTGATGGCTCAGGGGACTGGCATACAAAAGTAGAGAAGATAAGAACTGCATTAGAAGATAAGTAAAGTCTAACAGGGAAATTCAATATTAAATTGATGAGTAACAGGAAGTCCTTACATTAGTAAGTCTACAGTAACATTAACTGAATTAAAAGCATTTTCTGTCCTGTCTCCCTTACTGATACCGTGGAAAGCACTGGATATGGAATATGGTAAAGTTAATGTTTATTCAGAAGTCAAACCTCCCAACTCTCCTCTTGAATATTTTCAGATTCTTGCAAATTTTCCACTTAGCCTACTTTATGATTTAAAGTTCACATCCCAATGTGGACTAGATAATATAGCTAGGATTACAAATTCTGCAAGATCAAGTCCTAATTTTGAACTTTTACCATTAGTCTTGTGCATCTTTTTCCTTACATATTGCATTATCAACAGATGTCAATCTACATTAAAAGCCTTATTTTAATGCCAAGTGGTTGGGAACAGATGAAAGGTTTCTTCTGTCCATAAACTCTCCCTTACTCTATAGATGCACAGTGCAGCTATATATAGATACAGTCAATCACTTGTCTTTCATCTGCCTTTAAGGCTAAAGAAGAGCAAGGAGAACGTGTAAGAAAACAAATGCTAGGAAAAGACTGTAAAAATCCAAATTAAAAAGCCAGAGTTGTATATGTGTGTGTGTGTGTGTGTGGTGTTTGGTTTTGTTTTCTTTCAGAGGACTGCAGTCTGGCTGTCTACCACACTCTTTGAAATAATAAGTTTTACAAGGTTCAAAACAGGCAGCAAAACCCCAGCACCATCTGATTCCTGAAACAACTGAGTATGGACAAAAGCTTCTCTTCTGCTCACTCCCTGCTTGTCAGGAAAGATGGGAAAGAGACTGTGACTTGAAAGGCATGCTAGCAGAAGATAAGAGAAAATGAGTGAAGGCAACATATAAGTGAATGAACAAATGGGAAATGAAATAGGTTTCCTGAATACCTTATAATACTTTTTCTTCCACCCCACCATGTTCTCACTGCAAAAGCCCTGACATTTTTGATGGTATAGTTAGAACTGTGAGTCATGGTCTGCGATTTGTATTTCTACACAATGTTAGAGAGTAGCAGAAACTTTGGCACTTTATTTACTCTGCTTCAGATTCTTCAGCTCTAATATGTGAGTGATATTCGATGCTCTGATGTCCTGAAAGATTTCAAATTACTAAATACAGCAAACGCAGGGAACTTCTGAAGACAGTCACAGACATCTGCAGACTTTCTAGTTGTGAATTATTATTTCAAAGGCTGGTTTTTAAGGTTTTTCTTATACATATGTAAGCATATAATTTACACACACATACGTGTCAGCCACCTGAAAATTTACAGCCAATGCATTCTTCCATCCCATGTAAATAGTGCATAACAGGCACTACATTAAAAAGACTGTTGCAAAAGTGATCTAGGAAGTCCTTGGAAGTTTTAAGGACTGTTTTTATAGTACAGGACTGGGGACCTTGTATTCCAGATTCTTCTTGTACTGTTTTAATTCCATGAGCTCAGCTACATATATATATTTAGTACTTTGAGTTGAGACACACTTACAGTAAGCCACACACATACACTTCCAGAAATGCAAACACTGGGCTGTGGTTTCTCCCTTAATGCAACTTTAAAAGTAAAGGTAAAATCCTTTTGCAGCATTTCCATTAATATGCATGCATGTTTGATGAGCGGGGTCTGGTCCAAATATAAAATAGCGCAAACATGAAGCACTGCAAAGCAGACATCTGGGTTTCTTAAATGTTTCAGCTTTTTAATTGCAAGAAGAGTTAGAAAAGGATTGGCTAATGAATTACTTTGATTACTAAAACCATAGCAGCATTGGCTCTAGACTGTGTTAGGTAAAACAGATGCTGGACCAGAATTAGGAGTCAGGGTTCCGTTTCCAGCTTTGCCTTTGACCTGATGATACAGTAACACAGCATTTCTTTTTGTTGTGCCTCATATGAATAGTGACACTGCATGGAAGACGAATGGAACTCTGCTCATGAAGTATTCAGTCTCACTTGAATAATGTTAGCAATTTGACAGTATTAATAATGTGACCACTATCAAATCAAGCATTGAAGAGACTGCATATTTATGAATCTATTTAATTTTGCTATGAAAAATCCCAAACCAGAAATTCTGAGATATGATCTTTGTAAAATGTAATTTATGGGTTCTCCTTCTCATGTTTTCTAGAAATTCAAAATATGTCTAGAGGGATTATTTTTGACAGGTGCTGTAGTGAAAAACTACTTAGAACTCCTGAGTATATAACAGAATCTGCCAATGGACAGTATGTTATTTAACATGTACAACTCACTAAATTACATCTCTCCACTGTTCCTCCTTACCAACTTTTTGCTTTAATTTTGCAAGGATAAAAAATGTGAACAATTTTAAATTTTCCTTCAAAGGCAGAAGATAGAGATGTCTTCTTCTCAATGAGGTGAACCATTAATTTGGCCCAGCCTGTCTTATTAGACTTTCACCATGCAACAATTGGTCCTAAACCAACCAATGACTGTGTATTGACATAATATTTTCATACACGGTCTGTCATGCACAGGTAAATCCCTTTTACAGACAAGAAAAGATAAAACATTATGCCTTGCCTAAAGCCCATGCTGAAGTACTAGTGGTCTGTTACTGGAAATTTTGGAAGGTCATGTGTTCTATTAATCCAGATTTTAGGGAGGAAAACTATAACTGATGTGAGAAAGGCAGCTGTTCCTGCTGCCTTTGCAATGAGAAAAAAAAAAAGACCATTGAAGAAACAGACCAAACTAGCTTTTTAAAGTAGCTTTTAGTTATCAATTACACCATATTTGATGGATTTGAAAACATAGATTGCAAATAAAGTTAACGTTTATAAGAATAGTTGCTTTAATCAGTGTTTCATTTTCCTGACCCCTGATTTTCTCTGTTTCTAACCCTTGTGTTACAGCAGTAGTTTGTCATATAAAATTGCCATGACAAGACCATAATTTGTATATAGGTATGTGTTTTGAAAGACATCAAAGCTACCTCAACTACCCATGTTTTCAGTCTCAGTCCACAGGGAATCACACCCTTCAGCCTAGCCCTTTTTATACTACAATGTGTATAAGAGAAGAAAAAAAAAAAACTACCAGGTATTGTTTGCCAAGACACATTTCCAGGAAAATTCTGTGGCTTCTACAGCTGACTTTTTTTTTTTTTTTAATCTAAACTAAGAATAGATCTAAACTGAAAGCTTTATTTGGACTCTTATGAAGGCTGTCACACATCAGCACATATGTGGGTCTATCGTTAAGTTTTTGGTGAGGAAGGCTGATGTTTGGTCCGGCTTGGTGTTTTAGGCCTGAAGCCATGCTGAGTAAAAATCATTGGGCTACATTCAGGGACAGGTTGGGTTTGGAGCCAGTACAGCCACCCTAGCGCAGCTGGCGGCCGGTACACCACCTGATTACAACTGACGCACTGTTTCACACAACACCCACTGGAAACAAAGGTATAAAACCAGGTGACTTCACAGGTCAAACTCTGGTATCTTACTTGCTCCGTGGCTGACAGGAAGGTGTTCACTTGCACTACAGGCTTGTCTAGGCCGTGATGCTGCCGGTCACTTTGTGAGGATGCAACTAGAGCCACCTCTGAGCCCTGGGGGGAAGCACCTTAGAAGAAACTATGGCCATAACAAGAGCTTTCGCTGGCAGGACATCTGGTGAAGAAGTCTAAATATCGGTTCACCTGTTCCCGCAGCAGGGCGCGGGAGGTCTGCCCAAACGCGGCTGCCCAGAGGGAGGTGCTGCTGAAGACAGCCGTCCCGAGCCGAAACGCGGAGAGGATCGTATGGAAGAAGAGGGGACAGCCATTGCCCTGTCGTGACCAGGCTGCTCCCCGCAACAAGCGACGGGGTGAGGTGAGGTACCTGTTGCGAAGGAGCCACGCGGCTCCCGCTTCGGCGGCCTGTGGCGGTAGGACCCAGCTCGCAGGGTTCACGCCGTCGGGAGCAACGCCCCGACCGCCGGGCAGGGGCAAGGGCAGGGGCAGGGGCAGACACAGGCGAGGGCGAAACCACCCGAGGGCGCGCCCTCCGTGGGCGGGAAGGCGGAGAGGGCTCCTCCTCCTGCCCTCATTAGCGGTCTGCGATGGGTCTCGGGGTGGGTGGAGAGGTTTAGTCCCGTTTCGGCTGGGCTACGAGCGGCCAGCCGTGCGCCATGCACTCGGGGAACGGCACGGGCACGACGAGCCGGCCGGAGCCCGCGGCGGCGGAGCCGGAGGCGCCGGGCGAGCGGCCCCTCTTCAGCGCCGGCACCTACGAGCTGCTGGCGCTGCTCGTCGCCACCATCGGCATGCTGGGCTTGTGCAACAACTTGCTGGTGCTGGTGCTCTACTACAAGTTCAAGCGGCTCCGCACGCCCACCAACCTCTTCCTCGTCAACATTAGCCTCAGCGACCTGCTGGTGTCCGTTTTCGGCGTCAGCCTTACCTTCATGTCCTGCCTGAGGAGCCGCTGGGTGTGGGACGCCGCCGGCTGCGTCTGGGACGGGTTCAGCAACAGCCTCTTCGGTGGGTGAAGGGGCCACCGTGGCCTCCTGTCCCCCCTCGTCCCGCTGGGTCCTTCCTCTCGGCTGCCCTCCCTCTCCTTGCCCGCCTCCCCCGGGGGTCCCGCGCCCTGTCCCCACAACGCTCACGTCCCACCACTCCCCGGCCGTCCCAGGAGCTGCCTCCCGTTTCAGCCCGTTGTCCCGTTTCAGTTAACCCGCCCTCCCTGCGGGGCGCGCGGCGGCCTCGCGGGGCGGGCGGAGGCGCCTTCCCGGCCGGGGGAGCCGGGGCCCGTGGGGCGGGCGGGAAACGGCCGCTGCGGCGGCCCGCTGGGGCCGGGGCTGGGGGTCCCCCTCCCGGCGGCGGCGCCGCACGGCAGAGCGCTGGTGAGGAAGTCGGCAATGCTTAGGAAAATGGTCCGGGGCAAGAGGCAAATTCATCGGGAATCTGTTGTTCGTCCGCCCGCCCTCGCCGGCGTGACGGGAAACTTGGGGGGGGGGGGGGGGGGGGGGGGAAGACAGCAGAGTTGTTAAAAGGGGTCTCCGAGCTGACCGAGTGTTGCGCAGACCTCGTCAGCGTGACAGATGGTATTTTATACGAGGAAACGCAGCGATCTGTGGAGGAGCAGCACGTACGGCTGGCTGCAGGGTCAGCAGCCTCGGTGGAACAGGGGGAAAGAGCCCCCCGGCCCCGGGGGCTGCGGCCTCCCCGCTGCCGGGACTTGTCTGCCTGGAAAGCTACCCGGCCTCTGCCAGTGCTGTCACTTTCTTTATCCCTATGTGAAATTAAAGTACTAGCTTTTGGTCATAACAGTGTCACGGTTGGGTTTTGGGAAGCCACTGATTTCTGTCAAATTTTTAGCACTGCAAACAGAGTACTTCTGCTATTTCCATTTTCAAAAACTGTAAGCTCTTACTGTTTTCCTTCCCAAAATTCATACATACCCTTTACAGAAGTCTGCAGAAGAGTAAGTTGCAGTCCAGCTATGTACGTGCAGTCTGTTAATATGGCTTTATCTGTAAAAACAAAGGATGCTGCAAAAGAACGGGATCGTGTTTCTAACGGGGAAAGTGCTTGGCTAATCAGTAACCAAATCTAAAGCTCCTGTCAGATTGCTTTTTCTGTCAGAGATGTGTAAAGTAGAGATGGATCGCAGTGCATCCATGCAATGTGTGTACACTGAAGACTGGCTCTAATAAGGGAAATTAAAGTATTTAGCAAGCCTTGTAGCTTTCCTGCCTAATCTTTATTTCATGTGTCACTATAGTCTGTCTTTGGGCTGCTTGGACAAAAGCGCATGGTTGCTGATGATTGATTTGACTGCTGTGCATAATGCAGCAAAAATCTTATGTCTTGGAAGCTGTGGTGGATGCAGGATGTAGTTAGCCATTCGTGCAAGGTTTGGTATTCAATGATTTCTGCGGTCCACGGCTCTCAGACATTTCTTTGCTGGTGTTATCAGGGAAAGTACTAGAGAACCTAGCTAACATAAGGCTGTCTACATCACTCAGGCAGTTCAAATGCTTGAGGAACTCAAGCATCTGCTAACCAGATTCTGCCAGGCAGCTGAACATTAAGCTTACCCAAGAGATGTAAAGTATAATTCTGTTCCTGTTTTGATCCTTTATATATTATGCCTTCATCAAAAATAGTATTTTCCATATAGGGTCAAAAAATAAGGTACATAGTAGAAGCAATGTTAAAAAACAGGCTATAATAATCTCCTGACATCTTTCAAATAGAAAATGTAAACAATGAGGTATAAATTGGTTGATCACATGTGACTTTTAATTTCTATTTATTTTGGGGTGTGCTATGTAATTTCTCACTATAAATGTATTCAGCAGTATTGATGCTTTCCTGCATCCCTTTATTTAATAAATTTCTCCCCAAAGAAATGTAGGCAAATTCATGGGCCTTATCTACAGAGTAGTCAAGCTAGCATCACTTGTTTGCAAAATTACATCTTCCTGTGCTTGGTCATGTAATTTTCCTCTTCCATAGTGTGTTTCAGTGGGAAGAATTTTTATTCTAAATGATGCATTAGAAAAGTGTGTGTTTGTGTGTAGTTTGTCATATGGAAGTAGAGAGTAAAAGCACATCTTAATGTTCAGGAATATCTGATGCATGAATTTACTTTGTTCAGCTGCCATGTAGAGTAATGGAAAATATTTAACTTGGCTATTATGATATGATGCTAGCCTAATAAAGTTATGACTAATCTTAGGCTTTCCTTTTGTACGTAATATTGTTTTCATGTTCTCAGCTGGAGGTAGAAAGGTTGTTCTTTTCTGTTTGTGAAGTGGTTCCCCACCTGAGTAGGATAGCAGGGGCATGTCATTACTGAGGGAGAAAAAAAAAAAAATTATGCCCTGCAGGTACCATCACACTGTGTTTGTCATCTGGACTATTGCCACAGCAGCTTGTATTTTCATTCCGTAATAAGTGTACGAAGAGAGCAGTAATTTGAAGGGGTTTGGGTGGTCTTGTTTTGTTTTTTTGTTGTGTGGGTTTTTTTTTCCATTTTTTTTTCTGTTTTTGTTCTTGTTTTGTTTGTTTGCTTGTGTTTTGTGGTGGTGAAGGTACTGACTGAAGATTTAATTTGGAGTAATCAGGTATTATATTACACTTCTGTATATGAAAGCCCAAGTTGGTGGTTATGCATGTGGGGGGAAGGTAATGTAATGGAGGTCTTGTATGTGTATTACCTAGCAGTGCTTCTTAAAGCATAACACACCCCCTGCAGTACCTTTTGGGGAATAAAAAATACATTGATTGATCAGAAGACACACAAAATTAGCAGCTTTTGAAAGTGAAGTTCTCATTAACTAAGCAGAGTAGTTACAGCTTTGCAGTTTTCAATTGCTCATTAAACCAGAGTGACCTAATAAAGGCATTTCTAGAATAAAGTGGTGGTAGTTCTGATACCATGGATATAGAATCTAGTAAATCATAACAGATACTGTGATGTTACTTTACTGCTGGGGATACGTGCTGGGATTGGACCCAGCACAACTCATTTTACATCGGATGACCAAAATCTGTTTGTTTACAGCTGTGGAATTGCATTCTTGAATATGTGAGCTTTCTGTACCAGCCCTTTAGGTCCAAAGGTTGTTGAATCTTAAATTCAAATAAGGTAATCCCTATGTAATTTTTTTTTCTTGGAAGAACAGCCCGTAAGCCCCAGTACTTGGTGTAAGCTGTCTTCTTTGTTTGACCAATGAGAGGGTCCCATGACAGTAAACAAGTATGGGACACATCATTAAAGCTTTAAATTCAGAGTTAATTCTCAGTAAGTTTTAAAAATCAGATTCTTTTCAATTACTGTAGTTAATAATCAAGAATCACTTCAAAAATCATGATGTTGATGCTTTATTTTAAATTGTTATGTCTTGTTAAGAGGTTTTTGCTCATACTGTTTTGGAAGCTAAGATCAAGGTATTTCTGTGTTCCTCTTAAGAATGTCAATATGATGAAATACATAGGTGAAGTGTGTGCTTAAAATAAACTGATAGCATCTAAATTTTCAGAAATCTTTGTTATGTAATGATGACAACTTTTTGCTAACCTTGCAACAAGGAGGGCCCTCTCTTTACTCCTCCTAGGAATTTTGGACTGGGGAATCTGAAAATGTCCTTTGTGTAAGTCCTTTTCACTTTACCAGCCAGTCTAGCAGTTTGGAGACATGTGAGATCTGGAATTTAGATGCTGTAAGCAGATGTTCATGTTCTGAAATTTTTCAGTTGGGAAGGTGGCAATAGAACTGCAGGTGGCCTGTCTAGGAATAAATGGCTGTTTTTTTGTGTACCTTGCGATAGTCTACCTTGGCGCTATTGTAACTTTTTCATTATGCAAGTGCATGTATTATCTGCTTCTTGTGTTGCACTGTGCATCTCAGAACTTGCTGTTTGTGCTACTGCTGGCTGTTTCTTCTGGGACTTGAAAGCTTTTCATTGAGCCTTTAGAACATGCAGAGAACTGCATTCTACAGTGCAAAACTGATCATTTTGACTATTGAGCGTCTGTCCTTGTCACACAAGTAACAATCCCAATTTTTCTTTACTTATTAGATTCTGAAGTCAAGATACAGTTATACGTCTTCACATTGGAGGCCATGAAAACGGCTTATCTTTGCTATTACAAAGCCATTCTTAGCACTCCATGTACTAGTGTGGTGAAAATTGATGACTAACTGACGAGTCTTAGTCTGAGCTTCAGTGACATGGTTGTCTGTCTTGGACAGTAATCCCCATTTAATTCAGCCATATGAGTTCCAGTATTTTTTAACAGGTGATGTATCCCGATGAAATATGATAGCTACTTCAATTAAGTGATGTATTTAAACCACGAGGGTCACCTTTCCATGGAGGTGTACAGTCAACTCTGTGCTAGTTCCACTGAGTCTGCCACCCTCTCCTTACATGAAAGCTTGTAACTCTTTCCCTGTCTGTAGTCAGCCAAGCTGCAAGTAGTAGAGATCTGTGTAATCTCCTTATCTGATTTAGTAATACAACTCATACCAGGGAGGCTTGCTGCCTATCACTGAGAGCACAGGTTTTTTGGTAGAATTGCTAGAGAAGACACCTGGCAGCTAAACATACCCAAATGTCTTTGTTAACAGGCACAGATACCCTCATACATCAAGGAAGAATTTGTTTAATTGTGGAATACAGGATCTGGGCATAATAATTTTTATGCACATCTGCTGGCTTTTTGCAAACAGACAAACAAGATTTTTTAAAATGACAGTGACTGTCACAGAACTTGATGTGCACAAGAGAAGTCTGTATTCTGCCCATCCATAAGCAGCGGATGCTTGCTTTAATGCCTTCTGTACATAGGAATAAGCCCTGAGGGATCCAAAGTAAGCTAGTCTGATCATGTGGAACATACATCCATACCTCTCAAGCATAAATCACTTCAGCTACAGGTAATGGCAACTAAACCATCTGCCAGTAGTGTTGTTCTAACACTTTCCAATATGTTTAATTGAGCAAGGGAAGAAAGGAGTGGAAAAACTG